ATTCAACACTGATTGAAATTTTTGTGTGGATAATTAGCTGTTCGTACAACGTCAAACAAACGGGTTAGTTATAGCTGGACTCGCGTATAAAAAGGCCCCAAATCAGTTGTAGAACATAAGCTTTCCAGCAATGGCTAGTATTTGGCGCCCCATTGATTTTGATGATGAAGGAGCAAGAGGACAGTCGCAAGGTCCCGAGCAAGGTTTGTATGGACACAAGTGAATTTACTGCGGGGTTTTAAATTATCAAACTAACTTTTTTTTAACTTATAGGTTCTAAAAAACGTTGTCCTATACTTAAGGAAGAAGAAGAATTAGTCTTGAGTGCCTACCACAAGTTTGGAAACTGGAACGCTACTCTAACGCATGTCAAACGTCACATAGCCGACATTCACGTATGCAACCTCGCTAGAAAGGAAAATGTCGTCGAATACTATTTCACTTCCACAAATAAAGTAGCAATAAAGAGAATGCAGCGTATCGTAAACTAGAGGATGAAAAAAACGACTCCTGTCGAAAACKCCACAAGTTCCTCCATGGTGAGCGCTTAGTTATCAAAAACTCAAAGATGCGGTACGCCATGAAAATGACACCAGAGGAAAGAGCACAGAAGAAATTTGAATTTGTCAACGATTCTATCCAAGATGATGAGGATATCGTAGAGCATTCGGAAAATATGGGCAGCATGGTGTGCGACGAGGATTCTGAAAATCCAGGTGATGATGTTTCATGTAGCTCGAAAACTCCAACCAAAAAAAAGGTCAAAAGAAAAAATCATGCCAAAAAAGCAAATGAAGCCCACACTAACATGTGTCAAAAAGCCATGAATATGATGGACAAAATAAACAGAATGTTGGATAAATTGGACAATGATAGTAATTAATATAGCCTTTGAGTTATTGTAAATCATTGTTCCAAGAAAGTTTTTGAGCAAAATGAAATACAAATGTCATATAATTAACAACGTGTGTGTTTTGCATCATTTACGTAAATACTAGCCAGGGAAGGGTTCTCCCCTATATTTGATATACGAGTATGTGTAAAGGGTTTTGGGAGTCGTGCGGAACACCCCCACCCAAGTTGGGGAGGTAGTATCCCCCTCCCCCCGGGAATACTAGCAAGAAGTTGGATAATTTGCATACACCTTTCCGAGCTATACAAATAATACGGGGGTAGGCTTGATAAAAGAAGGGCAAGAAAATTCAACAGAAAGCATTCTAGGTGTTATTGTGGAAAATACAGTATGGGAACGTAAAAGAACTTGTAAAACTAGAGAAGGGTCATGGAATCGAAATGAGATGGAAACAATCGGACCCAAACTTCAAATCTGCCCTAATTGCAAGCGAAGCTTCCAAGGCAACTACACTACTCGATGCAATTCGAATAAGTGGGAGAAAAAGATGGTTTTTACTTTCTTTAATGAAAAGATATGCAGGTTTGTCTATTCGTATATTTTGTCCAGTTAATGTAGGGCGTTTATTTGTTATACTTGGAGTTCTCTGTACTTTTTCAGATGGGCAAAAACAGGCGCAACGAATTATTAAAGCGGTTTCGAAGGAGGGAAAGATACTTAAAGAAAAGCTAAAAAAATACAACGCTTCTGTGCAGGTTCTCATAGAAAATGGCCTTGACTTTAACATCCTCTCCTGGGAGCAGGCCAGCGATGTTACAACAGGGATACACAAGCAGTCCTCAGTATCCCCTCTGCAAGCTTGGAAGAGGGATGCCATCGAGGCATACACTCTTCTACAACGTGCAGGAGAGGAAATTAACATTATCCACTCTGAAATGCATTCAGTGATTTTGAATGCATACAAGGATTGTAGAAGTTGCGATGTGGCTACAGCTATAAGTGGACACGCAGGGTCACTTACAACCATCCAAGCTGGGTTACTAAGTATCGCCAAAGCTAGGCAATCACATCACCACATGCATTTACAATTTGCAGTGCAATCGCTCTCAAAACATGTGGACATTTCCAGAGACATTGACCATTATGTGGCCAACATTCAACAAGTTGCAATTGCTCCTCATTGTGAAGCTGAAGAAGACATTCTGCAATCAGATGAAGAAGAGGATTTTCAGGACTCCCAAGAAAATATCCAAAATGACATTTCAAAAAACTATTTGTTTGACGACTTCGGAAGTGATAGTGGACTCGGCACAGAATGTTAGAATAAAAGAAATAAAGTAACCAATTGAGTTGTGTATATGTTTGTGTTTTTTTATTTAACAGCATAAGTTCAATAAAAAGCCTTGATTACAATTCCGTAATTATTACTACATTACAAACAGGGTTTTACAAAAAACGTAGTTACTATGTTACAAAAGGTGCAGTTACTAGTCAGTAATTATTGGCTTACAAGCATCATTCCGTTACAAACCAGTAATTACTATGCACTGACAACACAGTAATAACTAGGTCACAAAAGATTTTCAGGCTCAAATTCGTCCCCGAAAAGTCAAGTAACTTTTTAGTCGAGGAGTTTGCGTTCCACCTCCGCAGACATGGAATCTTGGCACATTCGTCTCGAAAACGATATACATGTATTGTTACTAGGACTGAAAAGCTAGACTATATAACTGGAGAGAGGTAATGTATGGGTTTTTAACTATATAGCTATGGTCAATCCGCGACTTCCCGATGTGCCCGTAAATGTACACTATAGACAATTAACTAATATTATTTAACACAAGCATGGCAAGGGGTATCAGGAAAAGGGGGACAAGTCTATTTCTTCCGTACCTTTTTTTTATTTCAGGAACGATAAAAAAGTGTTTTTTTTAATTACAATGCAATCACGGCAATTTACAACACAGAACCGATTTTAGCAAAGCCATCCAAATCATTTTCGGCCTTGAGCAGTACACAAATATTAAGAGTATTTGTTTAATAACATTTGTGTTGAGCACATGGCGAGTGTGTACGGTTATTAGTATCTTGAATAGTAATAATAACTACTTTATTTAAAGAGGGAGGGTAGACTACTCATCATAATACTTATTTTTAAATATTTCGCTGTTAGAGTACAAACATTAAATGTGTGCAACACTTTCCACTATTTACTACAAAATAGTGTTAATTAAACAATAGAAAACAATAGTGGTACAGTTTATGTTGCACAGTTTTAGTGTTTGTACTCTACTAAAAAGTGTTACACCTTTTTTTCTTAAGACTGAATGGGTCACCCTACTTTTTTCCTTGTGTAAAAGTAAAACAAGCAATACTAACAAGTATAGCATTAATGGAACACTTTGACGAAACTGCGGTGTACAGGAAGATTTTTTGTGTGGATTTTTGGTGGTATAATTAACAGACAATTTACCAGATACCAAAAATAAAAATGATATTGACATTATTACCAACAACACCAAATTTTTTTATCTCCTTTTAAAACTGAACGTAACAAAATGGTGTAAATACAGGATTGTTGTTTGTTTCATATTCACCGTTTAGGTATTCACCTCTTTACTTTTTGTTTAAATTGAATGACCAACATTAAACGTCATCACAGCCAAATTTATTTTTTTTTGCCCTACCAAAATGGCCGCCATATCGTCGGAATTTCCCATTAGTTAACTGGATATATACTAAATTGGAAGTTCACACATTGAAGCTCTACGGGAAACATACTTTGAAGTAAAAAAATAAAAAAATAGAAATATTAGTGGCTACGTCCGGTTGGCAGATCTGGTAGTACGACTCGACGGGTTCATCCCAGGATGCAGACTGTCAATGAGGGATGACGCCTCATTCTTCTTGTGCCTCTTAGTATTTTGCTTCGGTTTCTTATCTGGTTCCTTGGCTTTGATATGTGTGAGAGGCCAGGCAATGAAAGAATCTTCCTCGACTTCCCCTGAATGGGTGGGGAAGTCTTTCCATGGCTCCACAGACGTTTTTAGCAGACGTTTCACAAGAAACGCTCCCCAACCTGCCGTCAAGGTCCTTCCATGAACCGTGAGGCTATTGGTGACCTTCTCTCCCTCTGCCACAGGCGCTTGTCCTTTTTTGTCCAATAACAACACAGAACCTTAAAAGAAATAAAGTTGTATGTGCATGAAAAGTCATGAAATGATGGTATAAAACCCTAAGAGAAGTTCAAAGGTGTGGCTTGAAGAACAGTACTTAATTACCCCCTTTATTTCTATATAAATAGTCAAGTTCATGTTCATTCTATGACTTAACAAAAAACTACATGTACATAGGTTTCAGTTTAGCCTATTAATAAGTCCAATATAAAAGTCTGCAAGTAAGTACTGCGTGTTAAATCTCTGTACATGACTTCATTTTCGTGACGCAAAATTATAAAAACTACTTACTAGCCATAGTTTCGGGCTCCTGCATAGTACTGGAACTGGGAGAAGGGGTGTCTAAGATAAAGAAATCAGATAATGAAAAGTTAAACACTTCTTGCAAATGTGTATTCCCTTAAAAGTGATGTCTTATGTGCATTTCTCTATGTTGCAGTTAATTTACCGCAAGGATGACTTACCATCGATAACACTGTGTCCACTCTTCTCCATAGCATTGGAGTTTTCAGGAGGAGTATCTAAATATAATATTAATATTATTCGGCAATGAATATTTACAATCAATCCTATTGGCTTGGTGATAGAACTATCTGAAAATGTCTTCCTGGAATAGAGCAAATTCATCTAGTAGATCCTGACTTCCTCCACTTTCTTACATAAAAGACATTTCAACTTACATGCAAACGATTTTACTACGCGCACCTACGCTACAAAAACACCTAATGTTGAGAATTGCTTACTTGTTTTCTTCGCTTTTTTTTAGCCCTCTTCTTGGACTTTTTGCTCTGACCTTTGTCCCCCTCAATGTGGCTTTCAGCTGCCATCTTTTCTTTTGCTATGAAAATTAAAGGCAGAAATAAGAGCATAGCTTTTTAAGAAACAGTTTTACAAGTTACTAACCAGTAATTTTAACTATTGCACTAAGGACATAATTAGTGATAGTCTCATCCTCCGCCATTTCTTTTATTTTGACAGATATGTGCCTCTCTGGGACTCCATTTATCAATCCAAGCCACATTGAGGGGTAGCCCAATTGGTCCAACTGATCAATCTGTTAAGTAAAAGCAAGACAAATATTCATGAAATTCATTCTTGAACAGTATAAAACTGACGATAAGATTATAACAGCAGATAGCGATAGGATTCATCATTTCATTAAAGGGGCTACTTACACATGTCCTTATATGCGAGGACAGTTTTTTCGCTCTAGATATTTTTGTTTCCTCTTTTTGTGGAGGGTTCATATTTTCCTCCTCGGCCAGCTCTTCCCACCGTTGCCTTTCCCCCACCCCAATGTTACGCCACACAGCATTCCCTCTCCTTTGGACCTCACCATCTGAAAATCCCTTTCGTAGCTGCCTCGCCGCTGAAAAAGAAAACATACTATTATTGGGGAATATGGATCTCAATTCCTCTAACAATATTATTTTTACTCACTATCAGACTTTAAAAAGTCGGACTTAAAGAGCTGGTAAGCGCTCTTTTTTCGCGTTTTGCAGGGCACTTTATTGCCTTCCTTTTGAGGTCTGGGTCCTCTCTTTCTGCAAAGTCCCAGCCTTTTTCTCTCATTTCCAATCCAGTTCTGAAAAATAAATGGCATTAACAGCGTGCTTCAAGGCAGTGACACATCTTACATACTTTCACTTGCGTCTCTGATAGTCCTGAAGCTTGGGCGGCATTTTCGATCAATTCCTCGCAAGATGACTTTGTGGAAGTCATCCCATCCTTCCAGAATTGCAGCAACATTTTACTTTTCTCTTCGTCCAGGGATAGAGGCATCTAACAATGATTAATGAATAATCCAGATTTGTAGCGTAGTGGTTGTCTTAT